ATATATCGAGTTTTTATATAACAAAAATATTATGTCCAGTATTGAAATCTTTAAATTGTTAAATTTTTGTCCGGCGTTTATGTTACCAAAAAATGTATATCCAATTTTTAAACTACCAAAAAATTTGCACAGTTTATGAGCTATTGAAAAGTTGTGTCCAATTTTAAAGTTATCAAAAAAAAATGTGCACAGTTTCAAGTAACCAGAAATTTTAACCTTTTGCAAATTACGAAAAGCGTCCGACAATTTTTAAATTATAAATCAATATTTCCAATCTGTACATCACCATAACTTAAACCTCCAAAAAGTGATACTTATTTTAAAATAATTGAATTATCAGAAATTAAAGTCGTATGTATTATCAAACTATCAAAAAATTATATATATTTTTAAGTGTTCTATCTAATTTAAAAATTAGCTGAAATTTAGCTAACTTATTCAAAACCAAAAATTTATGTCCAGCTTTTGGGTTACAAAAAAACTATGTCAAGTTTTTAAATTATCAAAACCTTACAGTTTTTCAATTGTCATGAAATTATGGACAATACTGAAATTAAAAAACATTTACATATTTCTTATCTTAAGAATATTATAATAAATTCAAGCTAGAAAAAATTTATGTTCAAAATTTAAAACTGTAGATACGTGGTAAACGTAGAAATGGGACGAATTGTATATATCACATTTACATATTCGTGGCTCTTTGGGGCAATATCGCAAAGAACGTCAATACTCCCTGCACGACCCAATATGCACTTAGCTGGTATTTTGCAGCTGAGTAGCAAGCAAACTTGAAAAAGGCAGTAAACCGCAAGTTCTACCAAAAGTAGATGAAGAAAGAAAGCATGGCAAAAGGGTATATGTAGCTTTATAGCATTTACACACCTTCATTTAGAAAGCTCACAAGTCATACACAAGAGTCTGGTAAACACACTTCCGAGTAGTTGAGCGCTTGACAGCTAAGTTGGATTTAACGCCTGACTGGCCAGCGCACTTGCATGTATGTGCTGCTGCTCGAGCACGCCACGAGACTGTTGTGCTTTATTCACATACATTTAAATGTATGTGCCAACAACTCAGAACGTGAACGTGTGCTTTACATACTCGTGCATACATATTTTAATATCAATAAAATTCCTATAAATGTAACCCAAAAGTACCCCGGATTATCGTAAATAAGTAAACCAATTTTCTGTTTTGGTTATACATTTTAAAAAGCTGAAACGTGTTAACGATATTGAGCACCTTAAATACTTCCCATCGTTTGAGCGATTTTTGAATAGTTTATCAAATTAGAGACAAGAAGAAGAAAATGATAACCGCATTTAAAGTCCCGAAAATCCTTTATTTGACAGTTTAAGAATTTTTAATATTATTTCTTTGAACATTCCTTTTCGTTTTAGACCCACATTCCATCGCATTTCAATAATAGAAGAATGCTCTTAATTAAGCTTGCAATTTATTTTTCATGATAGTCAAACAAATATGCCAGGCAAAAAGAGAATGAATAAAATTCCAATATGCGAAGTATGANTTTCATGATAGTCAAACAAATATGCCAGGCAAAAAGAGAATGAATAAAATGAATGTATGTACATAGACTCAATCAAAGCCACAGCATTCGAGTTTCCTTAGCAAAATGTATTTACAACATACTCTGGAATTCTCTGTAAAACGCAAAGCTTTTTTTTGTGAACACAAATGAAATCTGGTTACTTAAGCTATACTTAAAGAATTGTAGGTATTTCATTATGTATTTAGATGTTGGAAATAATAGTAGTAGTAGTAGTAGAAGACGTAGGCAACTCTCTATCGCCGACTACTTTAGTCTGATATTGGAGAGGCTCAAAACCCNTAAGCTATACTTAAAGAATTGTAGGTATTTCATTATGTATTTAGATGTTGCAAATAATAGTAGTAGTAGTAGTAGAAGACGTAGGCAACTCTCTATCGCCGACTACTTTAGTCTGATATTGGAGAGGCTCAAAGCCCAATAGCTCAGGTAAAATTTTTTAAAAGAGCGTATAATTGCCAAGCTGACAAAGCATGAGATGTATGACATGAGCATGGTTGATTGGATTAAGGATGACAATCCAATTCTGCATGCAATCCCATACGCAATTTTTGCTATTTTTATTTCCCAACTCGTGCAACCCACAGCGATTTGGCGGCTTCAATGATACTGAAAGTTATACACGAAAAAGGTGGCTGCACTCTGAAATATTCTGAAGAAATGATTTGCTTAGTGTCTTTAGCCTCATTCTTGTGTCTTGAGCTCGGGTTGCCACAGCTGCCACACAACTTATTGAATGAAGGGTAAACCGATCCTATCGGCACGCACTGCTATGGGCCAGCGCCTTGGCAAGATAGCCGTGAGTTTTTTCTTTGCTCATTCCATAAGGGTACCGATTTTAAGAAGATCATAAGACTCGCAGAACTGCATTCCCTTTAATGTAGCTTTAGGTTATATTTCTCAATGAAAACCGCTGCCCCAACCTGGCATTCCATCTTTAGTCCATCCACTTTAGCCAACACTTCAATCGCAGGTGGTAGTGCGCTTCAGATGGAACTGTGTTTGGACGGTCTTTCCTTCCAGTACCCAAAGGCACACAATCCGACATCGCTGTTAGCAACTGAGTTTTCCACGAAAAGATATATCGATAATAAATCTATCAGAGAGTTCAAATCCTCCATTGGAGAGGATCTCATTACACCCGTTAAGCCAACGGCTGCTGACCTTTAAATTTCACCTAGTGTTTAACTACATAATCCTTAGTATGGACTGGCCACATAGCCAATGTGGAGTGATTTATACAGCCGCTCCGCATGTAAAATCCTGAAAGTAGTTGCTCATATCGGACGGTAGTGGTAACAAAAAAAGAGCAACTCCACCTTTGCGATGCACAAAACCAGGGCGAAAAGGAGTTGCCTTAACCTCCTATTTCCAGTTAGCGGCAGTTGCAATGGCAGAGAAACTACTGGCATGCCTTATTAAATTTGACCAAAATCGCTTGGGCGAAGTCTGTGTCATACTAGTCGTAAACAAAAATACATACCTCATTGTTTACACTGCTTGTAGCAGAAACTTTTAATCCTACAACTATCTAAATAGTACATACATATGTGTATGTGGATATTTTACGCTAAACGCTACAGACAAACCCTACTTACCCTTCCTCCACCTTATTTCTGCTAAAAATAAATGCCACATTTGGAGAGCTTATCGATTTCTGGGTAATCAATAAATATACCATCATCATACTAAGGAAACTAGAATGAAAAATGGCAAAGTAGTTAGATAGTTCCCAATAAACATTTTTGTTAATTCTCAAATGTTTCTCAAACCGTTCTTAAATTGATAAACAATGTTTGATAAAAATTTGAGAAAATGTTTAGTTTCAAATGATAAACAATGCTGAATATGAAATTGCGAAATATGATTTTCTCAAACTTTTGAAATTTTTTGTTCCGGTGTTTGTTGGGATGTTACAATTGGCATCATACAATTGCACACCAATACACGCGGAGCAAATTTGCCTGTAAATTAATATACATACATACACGTATATACAAGCCATAAAACATATTTATGAATTTATTGCGATTTATATCGCATGACTATTTTTAGTATGAAATTTATATACCCACAAAGCAACACTAAATCACACCCAAATATATGTTGGTATGTACGAGCATATGTATGTATACATATAAATATATAGTTATGTATAAAAGCTCGCAAAGTCATTGCTGATTTGTAGTTTTAGGTGAAAATGAACTCAGTGGATTCAACCGCAGTGGCGGGCACACAGACAGTTGCCAGCCATATTGATTTTATATTTATGCAGAAATGTAAATTCTTAGCTGTATATACATGTACATATGTTTGAATGTTCTTATAAAAATTGATAAAAATTGATTCAAAGAATATAACGGTTTTCCTGTGCGTCAGGTGATTAGGGCGTGACAAACGGCTCGTACTACACCTCCTTTGTTTTTTTTTTGCTTTAGTTTTCTTTCTACAAAATTTTCCTTATTTTTCTGTTCACGGCGAATTTTTGTCGTTTAAATTGTACCTGGGAAACGTGAATGACTTCGAAGGAACTTCTTTGGTATAACAGTGTCAATGGCAATAATAAATATGAACATCAAATATAGTTTGTTGACAGATATTTTAAAATGCCTTAAAATGAAAGTCATCACGAAATACAAACATTTTATATGCACATTAGGATGCCACACCAAAAAAATGTTGCAGTTTTTCCACCGGAGCTAAAAAATTTACTACAGTTCAGACTTCCGTCAAAAAACTTCGAGAAAATGTTAAGATTTACGTTGGCTCGATCGATTTAAAAATAGCTTCAGTAAACTCATTATTTGGATATCATAAATACAATTTTTTAAACATTTTTTGCATATCTTTCAAGCTTAAGCCCTTCTATCTTCATGCCTGATTTTTTGGGAAAAAATATTCATTTTATTTATAAAAATTTTGATTTTTGGAGGTAATTACAAATCGCTTCAGCTCACGGAAATCTTTACATTAGTCCAGTATATTTTGGCGGAAGCGTGCTTCACCCTAATGTTCATGTCAAAAGCTCTTTGGCTCTCAATTCGTCGACCAAACTGCCTTGAACTCGTATGCCTAGAAACTGAGAGAGTTAATAATGTTATTGTTCTTGTTGCTATTGTGGTTTTATCAGTAGCTTAACTCTAAACGTTTGGTAGTTTAAGATTTTTAAAATTAAATTAAGAGTAAGTTGAAAAGATGATCTTTGTGTGGGATTCCTAGCTCCTATTTCGTATCTCGCTCCTTTGTATTTTTTAGTAACATGTTTGCCAGTGAGATGAATTCCTGTTTGAGTTTCATGAAGACTTTTCTCTTTGTAGGCTTAACCTGCAATTCTTCTAATTTTCCAATATATTTTGCTTAACCTAAGATTTTAATAAAAACAAACAGCAATGCTAAGTCTAATTTTTTTTTCTTATTTTCCTTTCAGAAAACTCCGCGCTTTTCCGCCACCGAAATGCTTGAAATAAAATTAAAAAATATCATACGAAAAGTCGAAGCAACAAATTCATATCGAAGTCAAAATACATACCACTAAAAAAAAAAAAAAAAAAAACAGACCAGATGGAATGAAGAAACCATTCAAAGTGATACTTATTTTAGTAAAAATAAAAAACGAGCACAACTACAAAGTAAAACATAAAACCAGCACAATCATCTCAAACGAAAGCACAATCACATTACACTGCAGCCAAAAATAAAAAGAAGACACCCACAACCAAACAAACAAAAACAAATCAAACAAAGCCATATACACGCACAGCGCGCAAAAAAAAATAAAAATTTATTCGAAAGTGCAGTGAAAATTCAGCCTCAAAATGGTCGACGACTTTTCACCGATGCGCATGCAAAAGAAGACGCGCAGCGCATCCATTTGTGCGACCACCGGCGCCAGCATCGAAACGGCCATACATAATATGCCGACATATGGCGCAGCATCGGGCAGTGCCACACCCGAAAGCGGTGGTACGCCCAGCTATCGGCGTCGACGACCGGCCACACGGTCGCAGAGTGCGCGCATCACCAGTGCCGCAAAATCGGTAAGTTGGCGGATAGCAATGTATGTATGTATGTATGTAATCGTACATAGTATGTATCCACATATGTAAGTACATTTGTCATACATACCGAGTACAAATGCGCAGGTATTTTGTCTTTTCGGTTTCGGGCGAATGCAAATGTTTTTTCGTCACAAGAAGAACGTTTCCTCGCATATGCGGGCAGCAGCCAGCACACGACTTGCATTGCTATTCAGTTCAGTTTATTTGAATTTGAATTTACAGTACCACATGCCACAACTGCCACAGGCCTTGCAATACCGTAATTTCACTGTGTGTGTGTGTGTTCATCGCGACTTCAAATGCATTTCTAATGTTTGTTGTTTTTGTTATTTTGCTTCTGGCATTGCGTTTTCATAGTTGTCGCTTAAAAAGTGCAATGCACGCATGCCAATTTGTTGCAAGCAGCACGAATAAATAAATAAATTACGCGAATATTGTGTATTTTCGTTATCAAGAATGTTTTAGCACACTGATGCTTACCTATACGTAAATATGTCTATGTATGTATACATACATATTAGGGTGATTGACTTGGGTTTTTCCAAATCGGTTTGCACCGGTTTTTTTTGCAAAACTATAGGTGAGTGTTTGGCGCCAAATGCTTTCTAGTTTTTGACCAAACTTCTCTTCGCATTCGTGTTCTGCTTTTTTATAGCAGTAGTGTACTCAGAGGGTTGCCATTGTCTGCCGAGGGGCGACAGCTGCTTGAAAAAATTTCTGTTGATGTTGCTGGATCCAAAAATTGAACCAGGGATCTCCCGAGTGGCAGTAGGCACCTCTAAGCACTCGGATACGGCGGCAAGAGCACTACTCAAAAACGAAAAGAGACAGGAAATATGCAATAAAGTATTAAAAAAAGACCAAATGTGAATTTTTCACTGATTTTTTTTTTTTATTGTGATGTAAAAAAACTTTGCACTTATTTTGCATTGCTCTTTTCTTAATAAAGTGATCAAAAAATCTTTGCTGTTAATAGTTTTGCTGTATTTTTATAGTCGTGACTTCATACCAAGATACGCATTTTCACTGTATAAAAACTATGTAAACTAAAACCGGTTTTTTTCAAATTGCATATTTTCGAATAACTCGAAACGAGGTTTTGGAGGAAAGCCGAATAATCGAGTACCCTAATACATATGTACGTAAATAAAGAAAGTTAAGCATCAATTTACTATTTATTAAGTGCTCTTAAAAAAAATCATTCAGAAATGGAAACGAACTTTTCTTCTATGAAAACTTTTTGAATCAGTTTGCAGCTGCTAAGAAACAAATGCTCGTATAAATATTTTTTTCTTTAAGAACATTTACATCGACGGCAGGGTACTTTTTGAAGCTATAGAAATAATGTGGGTGTTCACACCTGTCTGGTTATCAGTTTAACTAATTATGTGGTTATATTTTTTTATTCAGTTAACCTGATAACTAGGCAAGTGTAAACACCCACAAAAAAAATATATTTCTTGGGATTTTTCTTAAGAGTTGGAGAGTAAACTTAAGCAGGAAAATTCTTCCAAAATACTTAGGGGACTCACAATATGGGATAAGATATCGAAAAATGTTTAAACCGATAATTAGTTCCTCGGATAACCCAAGAACCCCGTAAACCATTTAGTTTTGTATATTCTAAGTAAAAAACCGCAGAAAGCAGTAACCCAAGAGCTTACATACATATGTAGCTATTCAAGTGCAGCTTTTATCCATAGTTCAGATTTCTCCAGGTCTGAAAATATTCAACTCGTAACCCGCAAGTGGTAGCAGAGAAAGAGGGAGGCTCCCACTCCGTTGGAAAACCAAGTGGCACAGAAGAGAATCAAGTGGCGGTCTTTGTTGAGCTCGGCCAATATCGCATAAGCGGTTACAGCGCCAAATAATATAAAGAAGAAGTCTATCGGATACAGGTTTAGAGCTTCATCTGGTGCTCTTTACACACTCTCCTACTTTTTGACGTATTTGGGTCTTTTTTATACGGCCGGCAACCATAACAAAACACCATTGAAGATTATTGACCCAATAACTGCTGTATAGACCCATAGCGTGAGGATAGACCCCATGCCTTACCAAGCGCTAGAACGTGCAAAACACCACGCATGTCTGGACTAATGTATACCAACGAAGGTCACGTCCCTTCGCTGACCAAGACGAGGTGAGAACAGCAATAATGTGGTTTGAAAATAAAAAAAAACATCTGGAGCAATGGCAGGGCCAAATGCATAAGTATTTTTTCGCTCTCGAAATTAACTACTGGCGCCACTTTGCGAAGAAGGGAGGCAATTGGCGAAGTTTTTTAATCTCGACTCAATCCGACAAACGGTTTTAGTATAGGAAAAAAGAAGAAAGAGCTTTGGGTCATCACAGACCACATCATCTCAGTTCATCGGCAGTGAAAACCAATGTGTCTTACACATATATATATATACATATATATTCGTATTAAGATCCTGTAAAATTTCAGGGCATAGTTATGCTATACTTTTTTTTTTGCATAAGTTCTAATACGATTTCGTATTGACTTTAATGATTTTTCACAATGCAACTTACACCATAATTTAAATACGAGTACTTGTGAGATAAAAGCCATCCTCAAAGGCATCATTAAAATCGTTACTCAGAAAAATGATTGTGTAATTCATACATATGCCGCATAAACAAGGCAAATTTAGCTGGAGAGCATATAAATACGTCGCATACACTCAAAGGAACTCACAATTCCAAGTCTCCCTACGGCATATGCGCAAATATCAACTAGGGAGTATTTTTGTTTGAAACCTATGACGGAAAAGCAATCTCCCTTTAAAGCATCGATACTCACAGTGGTGGCGAAAACATCAAACCAATATCGGAAATAAAAATATGTATGAGAGCGGAAAATTGAAATGCCACGGGAAAACGGAAATTGACTGCAATACACAAACTAACTATAGTCGCATTGGATTCGCCTTTTGTACAAATACTAGCTGGTGAATTTGCTTGTGGTACGAATGGACATGTTTATGAATATTAACTATGGATATATACTATTACTATAGGTGTGTAACCTACATACAGCAGTGCTCCCGAAAGCAGCAGCTTGATGTTTTGACAATTTTTATCGCTAATTTTAAAAGAAAAGACATTCAAATCGAAGTTTAAAATTTATACAAAATTTATAAAATTTTAACAATTTTTAATAAATCTAGATCTTCCAATTTTTCTTCTCTGAAAGTGAGCGCTTTTTCTTCAACACGAAGTGGATATGTTAGACAATTTTTTTTTTATCAACGTAAATCTTTAGCCGCTCGAACTCAACTTTACTGCAACTGCTTACATAAAAAAATTCTGAATAAAAACCTCTCTCGTTTGACACCCACATTGAGATATTTAATTTAACTTGTTAACTAAGTTGATTTTGAATTATTACATAGGTGGCAACACTCCTCAAAAATATGCTCGAAATGAAGCTTTTTACATCGCTCCCGTTTGACACCCATATTTAAAGACTTCCTTCAAACTTGTTAAATAAACTGATTTTTATTAAGTATGTAAGTAAAAATTGGTTTAAGCTCGCTTATTATACCAGATTACAATATTTCATTACACTTTTAATTAAATCGATTTTAAACTTTCAAACAGGTGGCAACCCTCTTGCCTTTAACTTATTAATTAAAGAGATTTAGACTTCCTAAAGACGTGGCAACACTCTTCAAAAAATCGGCCTTTCTTACATCTCTCGCGTTTGACACACACATTAAAATACTTCATTAAACTTGTTAAATAAACTGATTTTGAATTACTAAAATAAACAAAGGGAGGTTTAACCTTGATACCCATATTCGGAACTATAGAAAAGGGATGCTGCGGGAGGCTCGTTTACTGTACATAGATATGTGTTTGGCGACTTTTTCGTTCAAATACACTTCCATTCTGCACTTCGCAGATGCTATTTCATAGCTTGGTAATACAAAATAAAAATTTGTGTTAACATTTTGACATCTTGATACCTTCTGGAATCTAACCAATAACAGCAAGCACCTCTACAAACTCAGCTACAGCCAAACTTATGTAAACGTACATTTTTTACAATCATTCAAACAAATTTATTTTAAATTGAAAATACATTTTTTTCAAAATAATTTAAAATCGCACACACGGAATAACCAGACAAATTTTCAAATCATGATACTTTTTTCTTTCATATGTCGTTTTTAAAACTGGTTCGGAACAATAGAATTTAGGACTAGTTCGAAACTATCGAAAAAGGGATGCAGCAGGGGGCAATTGACATTTCCTAAGGCATGGTCATGTTAAATTCGCCAGTTGTTTGCATTCAAAGGAGATTTATCGCGAAACAGTACTGGGTCTAAATGTACTAGAAGCGCATCATATATACATAGTTAGTTAGTTATACATGTGTGTATAAGTAGATAAATATCTATGTGTATAGGAACTAGATACACATACATTACACTCTGCGAAAATAAACTGCAATTAATTTGAGCTGCGCAGCAAGTACTCGTATTATTTTACTCATTCAAGCACTTTTTGCTTAGCGCACTTAAAAGTTTTTCAATAGCTACAAATACAGTAACTGATATTTAAAGAAAAATCGAAGCAATTAAGGCGCAATGTTGTTTAAGAAAGAATTTGTTTCTCAAATTACTTCTAACTGCCGTACCTAAACAAAAGCGTTGGGGGAGCGTTTTCTGACGCTTAGCGTTAACGCCGAAGTGTCGTACCTAAACCAAAGCGTCAACGCTACGTCAAATTCAGAAATCATACCAACAATAAGCCGTTTCGCCATTTCTGCAGCCAACTTCAATACCTAACGCCCCGTCAAAATCGCTTTCTCTCATTTATCAGCCACATTAATAGCTATTCCTACTAAATTCAAATCAGAAACTTTTACGAATTTTAACAAACGCTACATCAAAGAAAAAATTACTTGCATACATATATATGTACATTAAATATATAAAAGTAGAGGGAAGTCGGAAAATCTCAAT